TTCCCCCCCTTCTGTGGTGCCTCGTTGCTCTTCGGTTTTCTCTTTGCCGAGCCTTGAGTATAGTTCTGTTGGATGATACAGCATGCTAGTTCCCTTTACTTTCATATATTTTGAGGCATTCACTTTAAGAGCATGTGAAAGATAAAAATGTGAGCATATGTTAAGATTAGATTTGGTTACTTGCCTAAACTAGGGAGGCTTTGGCATGTTATGGCTTACTCTTACTTGAAATGAAATTTGGGGAGGTTGCATTCTACTGTTTAGTACATGTTTGGAGAGGGCCTCGGTTTTGGGCTTCCTGTGGCTTTCCCCAGCTTGAAATGCAGGCTATGAAAAATTTTATTTAATGTGGAAAGCTTTATATCTTGTTTTGAGAGTTTGTCTTAACTCTTCATGAAGCGTCTCCCCTGTTCATATATTCGTTGGAATAATTCCATGCTTAGAATGTTTAGACATGCAGGTCATTCCTTGGGCTTAAAATGGCTAGAGCTTTAATATTGTATGGCTCGATTATATCAATGCTTGGGCTTGTTTTAATCTTGTTGAGCTCTGACTTTGGCTTTTGAGTTTTCGTTGAGCTCGATTTTGGCTTCTTGTTTCTCGTCGAACTCGGATTATATATTTGTTGGAATAATTTCATGCTTAGAATGTTTAGACATGCAGGTCATTCCTTGGGCTTAAAATGGCGAGAGCTTTAATGTTGTATGGCTCGATTATATCAATGCTTCGGCTGGTTTTAATCTTGTTGAGCTCTGACATTGGCTTTTGAGTTTTCGTTGAGCTCGATTTTGGCTCCTTATTTCATGTCGAACTCGGATTTGGTTCTTGCTTTCTTGTTGAGCTTGGTTTTGGCTTGATTTGAAGTCACGGTTTTGGGCATTGAATGGTTGGGTTTTGAGCTCAGTTTAGCTCTGGTTGGGGGCTGGTTTTGGCTCGGGTTGGGACTTTGGTTTTGGTTTGAAATGGCTAGAGCTGCATTTTTATAGGTATATGTATAAAGACCTGAATTTAAAAATGGTTGATGTTGGTTTTAGTTTTGTCGAGCTCGGCTTTGATTTTGTTTCCTGTTGGGAGCTTGGCTTTGGCTCTGTTTCTTGATTGAGCTTGGCTTTTGGTCGAATTTGGCTTTGGCTATGTTTCTTGATTAAGTTTGGTTCCTGATTGGGCTTGGTTTGGCCTTTGCTGGGCTCGGCTTGGCTCTAGATGGGATGATGTGTTGGTTTTGTTTGGCCTTGCTGG